CCCGGCGGCCCCTTGCCCTTCCCCGGCAAACAGTGGATCCCAGATCGGAGTGGGGCCGAGCGGCAGCGCCGTCGCTTAAGTGCCACTTGTGTCCGTGCCCGCCGAACCGACACAGCGGATTTTCCCCTCCTCCCACTCTTTGTCTGTGCGTACACCACAGTCCTCCTCATCATCATTAGTGCAGTGGCCTTCTCGTTTACGGATGATCGGGCATGTGGGAGATGGGATTATTTTAGGGCACTTTCGTTTTCAGTCCAATAATCTGCACGCTCAAAGTAAGTATGTCTCGCTGCGCAGGATTTTTTCTGCTCACATGCTCACTTGCCCAGACAGACAGACAGACAGACAGACAGACAGACAGCTCTCTTCCGCTTCGTTGTTGGTAGGTATCGGATAACGTCGCGGTCGCGGATGCCGAGACAGTCAGCCATCCTAACAGCAAACAAGGTGAAGAAGGCGCGGGGTAAAAATCAGGTCAGAAATTCACAAGAAGCGGTCTGTCTGCTGTTCAGCTCACCACTTCGCCAGAAAATGGATTGGTTCAGTCGGTTATCGGCAGCGGAGCTCAATGTCGTCATAGCTTGATTCGCGGGGTGGATATACGCTAATTGTAAATGGGGGAGGGAGGGAGGATGGCGTGGATGGGGAGACGTTTACGTAGGAGAAATTTAGAGAGAGGTGAACTGAGTGAGTATGTATATGCGGTTTTTGTCAGGTGGAATTTTTTGAGAGAGGAGGAGGGAATTGTTGATCGTATCCTCCGTAGTGGAGAGAGAGAGAGATCAACTGTTTCGAAACAATGTGTAAAGAATGAATGCTGGTGGTTCCCGATATGGCAGGTGAGAGGTGAGCAGGGGGCTGTTGAACTTCATGGCTGGTTCTTGAGAGAACCTCATGGGCTACACGAAAAGAGCTGTTCAAAGAGTTGAGAAGCTTATTATCAGGTTGGTTCTCTTGCTTTCCATTGACTCCTCAAAGGACTGTTATTCCGCGCGCGAGTTTAAGCTTCCCTGATTTTAACCCAAAACCACCAATTCTCTTACCCCCTCATTTCCCCGCATCGCATGTTGTGCGTGTCGAATTGGAGGACACACACACACCTCTCCTCCCTCTCCTGCCCATCATCCACTCGGCCGCGCAAGAATAACCCGGAGAAGATCCCGGGGTTACATATTTCCAAGAAAGGCCTGCCCCCGGTGTCGCAGAGAGTCAAAGTCTTCCAGACTGATATATCAAGCTTGTAATAGACAAAAAAAGGTGGTGTGATAATGTCCCATTGGACAGGTTTTGTCCTGCCACATAACTAAATCTCGATCCCTTTCATAAAAAAAAAACGAATTGTCTGCTGCTGCAGCAGCTGTCACCTTGCTTTGAGGGGAAGAGAGATGTATCATGAAGCGCGAGAGAGGCTCTCAGGGAAGAACCCCGGCATATCAATCTGCATGTATGTACACAGCAGCGAATGTATGTCCGCGGCACAGTTGATCCGTGGATACCTACCACAATGTACCTCTCCTCACAAGCACGTCAGGGGGTGCATGATGCCGTTTCGAAAAGGCCTTCTGACAGTGAAAAGACTGGAAACTCTGCGGGGTGGTGGAAACGCCAATGCATCGTTGCTATCATCCATATTGTTGTTGTCCCTGTCAAAACATCTGTCATGGATTATAAAAACAGGCAAGCTGCTGAAATGGTCTCATTTTGACATGCAGAAGAAGTTTTGGGAGACATGCAGCGTGGGGGGGTTCCATTTCTTCGCTTCTTTTTAATGTGCAGTTGTTGTCTCGGGCCAATCCAATGGCTGTCTCTGGCTTTTTTGCTCATCTCCATTGATGAATCAAATCGTCTTTGCCCAGGTGGAGAATATTGGCGCGAAGTGCATGCCGTAGCAAAGTGCAGTACTGACTGGAATCCATGGCATGATGATAGTGCAGAGTCGAAGAAGACTTTTTGAGTGTAACTGTCAGAAGAAGAGCTGATCAGGACTTTGAGATTTGTGTGTTGACTTCGGGCAAATAACGTCCCGGGAAGGAGAAGGCAAAAGACGGGACTTTCTGAGCCAGTAGAAATTGAAGAAGGGATACGGAGGACTGGAATACGAAAGCCAGTGGAGGCTCGTGCCAAAGTGTTGGAGGTCAATGCTGGGGAAAATCGATTCAGATAATGCAGCTTGCCGGAATCGAAGAAATGGCGATATTCGGGTCCTTCGTGTGCTGCACTCTACACTCGTACAAGACAGACCAGTCAAGGCGGCCCAGCGGCCTGTCACCGGAGGGGAAGGGCCGCTGCGGATGATCCCCATGCAGAGGAGAGGTTAAACAAACACTCCCGTGTCTCTGTAACCCTCTGTTTTGCTTTGCCAACTTTGACATGCTGAGCACATGTACGCAAGACCAGGTTGGGAAAGAGGATTGTGATTCATGGTGATCAAGCTTTCAGCATATGATGATTTTAGCTGAATTGGGAAAATGAGTACGCCAGCTAGTTGGATTCATGTTGATGGAAGGCGGGGTATCGCAACTGGGGAAAGGAAACGTTCAGGCAGGTCTTGCGAGACAGATCGATCAACGATCAGACTCCAGCCTCTTCTGAGGTGGTGCAAGTGGGACAAATACTGTCTCGAAAATCTCCGGGAAAAGCATGGCAGACGTCAAGTCATTGCACAATGGCTTTGTTCGCCGTTCGCCCGTCGAAGGTCGGTGATTTGTCGTGTGACATCCCGGTGGTGGTGGTTGGTGATTCTCAAGCAAGAAGATGGTGGTGATGGTTGGGCATCCACAAGGTTCTCACTCAAACCCAACCTGGCCGCCTCAACTCGCTGCGCCGAGAGTAGTTCGCTTCAACCCTCGACGGCACAGGGAATCGGGTTGCAACGGAGCACATCTGTGAGTGGTCAACCACCAGCGAATCCCACGAATCAGCCCCGCATCTGATATCTGTGCCCAACGACATCAGTCAGTGAATCTCTTTAGCAGCCGCGGCAATGTTGCTTTGATCGATATGCTGAGTGTCCAAGCAGCCGAGATTGGTGACACTGCATGGTAGCTCACCGTCAAAGACCGATAGATGACCTGGGCTGGGACAAGGCTGGCTGCCATGGACGCTTCGACAGAGGCGCCACACGCAGCCATGGTAATCTGTTTTATTTAAAAATGCTGAAGAGTATTGATGCGCAGTGCCATGTTGCACTCAACAACAACTTGAACAATGCTGCCGTCGACGATATACTGTCGCCGTCATGGTCTAGGCTCTGTTCAACGTCCGGAAGCGAGACGGCACCGGAGACACGGCCGTGCTCTTGATGTTCAGGACCGCCTCTACAGCCGCCGACGTGCATAACCGCACTGCCGAATTGCATGAAGGCGTTTGGGAGGGTCTGCCATGATATCATGGCACATGCGGTGCATCACCGGAAATTATTCAGCTCGAGAGCTTGCCATCGGGTGACTGGTGACCTGGGGGATACCCTTTGGGCAACAAGGCTGGTGTCGAGCTAGGTAACCTTATCTGTGGCGGCTTCTTTTACTAGCGATGGTAGAAATCTTGGTGAGAATTTGTTGGACACGCTACTGCGGCAGCAGGAAGGGTGCCTCTGTGGTCATGACATTCTGTCTTGGACGGCAGGTGTGGGGGCGTGATCTCCGTGTCTGATCTGAAGATCGTCTTGTTTCCATCTGGCTTCTCCCGATCATGTATTTGATGAGGGGCTGAGGGGGCGGTTGTCGTTCGCCGGGCAGGCAAGACACAGAGACACGGTGTTGAGATGGATGGAAGTTCCCAAGAGCGGAATCCGAAGCGCACAGACCATGACACCATTGGCGGGAAGTTCTTCAGCTGTGCACAGGCCATGATGTGGTCCGAGTAAGGACTGGACCCTGAACAACGCTCACCACCAAAGGTTCCCTCTGATGAGAAGCCGTGCAGGAGGCAGCAAGGACGACTCGCAGGTCTCTTGCAGGCTTAGATCAAGATGTCGATGCACTAGCGGCATCAGCCCGGTCCTTCTCTGATTGATTGTGATGGGATCGCGTGCGCCAAGAGGAATTCTTTGCGAGGTGTCGTCGTCGACCAACAACCTTGATAGTCACATCGTATGTACCCGCAAGGATAAGTGGCCTGCCCTGCTCGACAATGCGGGGAAAAAAGAGACTGATGAGAAAGTAGAGGCCGAAACCCCACGACACGGAAGCAAAGCTCGACGCGCTGTCTCTCCGTGTTCATTCGCATCCCACTCCCAGGGACATCTTGGCTCAGCACCAGCAATGTAACGCTACATGTGCCCCCCAAACATTTTCTCTTGTCGTCTTGCCGCTAACAGCTAGCCTCGTTGTATTCCTATCACCACTCACCGCAGAGAGTCCGCAGAAGCGCAGGAGGCAGGGGCAGGGGCAGGGGCATGGGCAAGCACAAAAACACATTGTGGAGAAGCCCTCCTCTCCACAAGATCACGACTCTGTACCCTACCCAAATTCGCGAGCAATGGTTCCCTCTCGTCCACCTCGTCCACCTCGTCCTCTCCACCTCCACCGTCTCCTCTGTCTCTTCACCTCTAATGCCTCTACTCTGTAGACTGCCCGGTTAACCGTCCGCCACACCGTCCCAATCAAGCGCTGCGCAGCAAAAGCAAATAAGACACTGCGCTCGACCTGCCACTTGAGCCCCCCCTGCTCGTCCTCTGCGACATCTTCACTCCATCTTGTTCAAAGCCTCTCCAACTCTTTCCTCCCACACTGTACTTCGGTACAACTCTCTGTCTCTCTACCTTCTCCGGGCCTATCTTGATCGGCAAGCCAACCAAGGCTGCAAGTGTCACCCCCGACCTAAAGCGGCTCTATCCTGTCTCACACCCTCCAACTCGTCGTCCCGTTCCCCAGTTATTCCTCCTCTTTTCCTCACCCTTGGTATTTTGTCGCCTTAAGAGCCACGGCGCCTCATCCCTATCCTCTGCAGACAACACCCTTGTTCCTACCCCGTGGGCATGGTGTCGTTATTGACGAGCTATGAGTCGTTCCCTTCCTGTCGTGTCCAGCGACGGAAACCTGCCGTGGTCAGACAGCCATAGCCATAGCATGGACTCCGATGAGATTCCTCATGTTGGCTTGCCTTCCCCCTGGTTGGACTCCCTTCCGACAGCCTCCAACTCTCTGTCCACATCGTCGTCGACTTTGAGCTTCGCCCGTACGGGCCAGCTCTCGCCCCAGCTGTCACCCATCAGCACTGGCATGGCCATGTCCTGCGGAGGCTCCTCCTGCCTTGCCTCGCCGTCCCTCTCGCCCCCCACTGCTGCCATGAATTCGCACTCGCTTTCCTCGTCGGCCTCGACGGAATCCTCATGGACCATGAATTACTCGGGCTCGGACGAGGGCCATGAGCACGAGCAGCTTCCGCGGGGCGCCATGAGCCACCACCATGACATACACCATGAACACATGCCCTGGGAGCAGGACGATCCGGATGAGCTGTTGATGGCCCCAAAACTGGAGCCCTTGGATGATGATGGATTCTGTATGGATGATTTGGGGGAAGCCCCTGCCACTCCCATTGGAGGAGTTGCCCATGCGCTGGGGCTCGACCAACCAAAGCCAAAACGACCCAGAGGACGTCCTCGGAAGCACCCCCTTACCCCCAATCTGACTGCCAACAAAGTCACCAAAGGCCGCACCAAGACTGGCTGCTTGACATGCAGGAAGCGAAAGAAGAAGTGTGACGAAGCCAAGCCGCGATGTAAGTGAGCAGCTGTTGTCTTTGGTCTACATGGTCTAATGCTCGGACAGGCATGAACTGCGAAAAGAACGCCGTCGTGTGTGAAGGCTATCCGGAGAAACAGATCTGGAAAAGCGGCAAAGAAAGGGCCGAAGAGGGTAGGCAATCCCTTTCCCCTCTGTCCATGCTGTTCGTCCTAACCAGTAGCTTCAGAACGTCTCAAGTCACACAGCGTCATGTCCATTACGATGCAGCCCATCTTCCACGGGCTCGAGACGGTTGAAGACATGATCTTCTGGAAGCACTACAATGAACACCTCAGCGCCGTGCTTACTGTCGAGGGTGAACACAAGAATGCTTTCAAGGACATGATGGTGCCCATCGCGGTCAAACACCAGGGCCTCATGCATTCCATCTTGTCTTTGGCAAGCAAACATATTGACTTTGACACACCCTATGGAGCCACCGTCTTGCGCAACAACCCCTCCACAAGCCTGGACCTCATCCGGGAACGATCCATTTTCCATCACGACGCCGCCAGGCAGAAGTTTTTCGAAGATGTCGAGTTTAGCAAAGGAAAGCCCTGCACCGATGACGAGGTTTTGGTGTCTGCCCGCTATGGACAGATGCTGTGCTTCCTCTTGGAAGCTCTGGCAGAGGGTAACCCCCGTGGCGAGCATCGCGTCCACCTTTCGGCATACCGCAGTCTTATCGCCAGCTCGCCTCCTGGAGATTCGGCCTTCTTGTCGTTCATCGCCGAGTTTTTCCAGTACCACATCTTCGCCGACGAATTGATCCACTCGTCCGACAAGTCAGGCTACCGTTCCATGTCGGACGCCCAAGAGCTCCCGTCGGTCCCTCATATCCACCCGCCCCGACTTCTTGGTGTTGCCGATGGACTGCTCGAACATATTGTCCCCATCACCACCATCAGAAACTCGATCCGGCGTAACATGGCCGCCCACGAGCCCGTGATTGTCGACTACATTAGTCTCTATCGCGCAGCCGAGATCGATGCTGCGATTCGAGAATGGGCTCCCAACCTGCCCCCTGGTGATAATCGCGGAAATGTCAGCCTCCTTTACAAGCACATGATGCAGATTTATCTCATCCGTACCATTTGGCCCCCGGTCGCCACATCACCCACGCCGACGGCCGCCTCCGTTTCCTCGTTTTCCCACATCCGCAGCTCGCCATCCGTCGGCCGACCGACCTCCTCGGTAGTCAATACCCCGCCGCAGTCTGCATCTACCAGCTGTGCCTCGTCCCCGAAACTTGGAGCCTCCCACCCGATGAGCGAGCCAAACGTCTACAAACGAAACAGTACCGGAATGGGTTCCTCCTCGAACGTATCCCCGATTCGCAAGAACAGCGGCGGAGGTATTGCCGCAGCGCTGGCCGCCGAGAACCGACCCGACTCCCCCCCTCCCATCCGTCAACCTGTTTCTCACGACGATCGTATCACCCGCGCCGTCGAAGAATCCCTCGACATACTCGACACCTTCAAGCCGAGCGATCCCTCCCAGACCCTGTTGTTGCTGCCGTGTTTCGTCATCGGCACCGTTTGCTTCAAGCCCCGCCAACAAGAGCGCATCAGGGCCGCCATCAAGTCTGTCAGGGGCTACACCGGACTAAGAAACGCCGATCGGGTTGTGGAGGTGCTCGAGGAGGTGTGGCGACTGATGGAGATGGGTGAGTGGGTGCGTGTGTGGGACTGGGGTCGTGTTGCAAAGGATATGGGGTTGGATTTTATCCCTGCTTGATATTTCTTTCTGTCTTGGCATTTTGGTTCTGCAGCATGTCCTTGCCCTTTCTCTCTCTCTCTCTCTCTCTCTCTCCCTCGCTCTTTTTTTTTTTTTTTTTTTCTCTCTCTCTCTCTCGTTGAAATATTTCTGGGGATTTTGAACCATGTTTTTTTGTTTTTGTTTGTGGAAACGCCAGAGACAATATACCCCCCCCCCCCCACCCCATATAAAGCAGTCTCTTGTTTTGTTTGTTTATCACATCATGTATTTTTCCCCCTTGTATTCCTCATACTTTCCGTTTCAGTGAACGGAACAAACAAGTTTATTGTTTTTTGTGTTGCTGTTTTTATCTGTCTGTTTTTGCGGAAAAAGAAAACATACAAAACAAGTCGTTGGCTTTTGACAAGAAAGAAAGGAGACGGACACACAAAAAAAGAATTACGTTGTATTGGTAGGAGTTTTGGGGATGGGGGCTGGGTTAGGTCTGGGGATATAAAGGGGTAGGGGGGCATAGGTAACGGTACGGAGCAGAAGGGTTTTCGGGTTCTAGTTCAGGGTTTTTGGTTGGGGGTGGGTTGTAGTAAGTAGGAAGGTTTTCTTTACGGGGTTGCTGCATAGTACGGTCGTTATTTTTGGATTTGTTGTTTTGTTCACCACTTTCCTCTTTGGCTACACACACACACACACACACACACACACACACACACACACAAGAGGGGTTGGAGTTGGAACATTTCTTTTCTGGGAGAGTTTTGGTGCATGTATATCTTGGGGAAGGGTTTTCTTGGTGGGGGATGGGAGATCATAAAGGAACATTTAAGGGCATGTAAGCGGATAAATGGGGGGTTTGGTTATATAGGTAGTTAATGGTTTGGCATATTTTTCGAGGGTAGGACATGGAATTTACACACACAGTCACGTTCGTTACATTTTGTTTATTTTTTGGCATTGACTGATGGTGATATTGACTAGTTAAGAACTCCAAACATGCTTCTTGGCTAGGCTAGTGTGATGCAAGATATCTTACAGGGATCCTAATGGGGGACATATATCTTACACATTTACTCTCTCCTCTTTCTTGACCACCAGATGTGATGCTCCGGTTGATGCTTATGTACACTGACCCCCACCCCCTTCTCAAAATTACACCCCCTATCTAGTCATCACTCTTCCCATCATCATCATCATCCTCCTCCTCAACAACAGTAACATCCCTCTTCTTCCCCTCCTGCTTCAACGACACCTCCACCCCCCCATAACTCTTCTTAATCTCATACTTGCCCCCCCAAACCAGATCCTTCGCCACAATCTCCCTCGTGCGCCCCAAGCTCTCAATAGCAGCAATCCGATCAATAGTAGCCTGCAAATGCTCCCTAAACCCGGGCTGCGCCACAATCTCCCTGAACGCAATATGCATCGGCACACTGCTCGCCCTCACCTCGGCCTTGCTCGTAATGCTAAACAGATTCAACCTATCCAACGCCCTGACAAAATCCGCCCTCGTCATGATCTCCTGCGCGATATGGAGAGGGTAGCTAGGCAGGATATGGCCCTTTGCGGGATCATACGTCTCCTCCATCTCCTCCTCCTTATCCACAAGCGCAGTGGCGAGAACCACTGCAGCAGCCGCCCACTTCTGCTGGTCCATCACGTCGTCATCCATCTCCTCGCCCAAAATCCAGCATTGGTTCAAAAACCAGGTTTTTTCCACTCGCTTGATCTCCTCGCAGGTAGCGAGCATGTCTTGTGATTTCGCCACCCTGTTGAGGAAGTTGAGGCGCCCGCCGACACGGTCGTAAATCTCCTCTAGGATTTCGCTCGACGGGACCTCAGAAAAGTATCTCCTGCGGTAGTTTTTCAGCGCGGCAATAGCCTGGTGCTTGGGCAGGTCAAGGACCGTCAGCACGGCCATCCTGGTGGAAAGCTGCTTCAGTCTCTCATAAACCCAGTAGTCGTCGCTGTTGAAGACCATAGTAACAAGATTAGACGCAGCCCACTGCTCCGCCCGCTGCTGAAGCAGTTCAATCAGGTCCTTCCCGTCATCATCGTCCCGGATGAGGTGCATTTGGTTAATGATAATCACCAACGGCCTGCCCACCCTTGCCCGTCTTTTGAGCGCGACTTTTTCAACCTTGTTGAGGGCGCGTTCAATGTCGAGGAGGGCGGTGGTGTCACGGGGCCCGCGCTCGGAGAAGTAACTCCCCATGTAATCTTCGTGGAATTCATAGTCTAGTGCCTTGCCGAGGCGGATGCGAAAGATTTCGAGGTCGGCGTGGGCTTCAAACATGGCCACGCCGTCGCCGTCGATCTTGCGCATCGCTTCGAGGAGCATGGAGGATTTGCCGGTGCCTTTTTCTCCGATGAAGAGGTGGTAGTGGCCTACCTCCTTGCCGGCGACGATTTCGTCCACGATGGACTGCTCGGGGCGCTCGATCCAGTGGGTTGCCGCGGCAGTTTTGGAGAGGGGGAGGTCTTTGCCTATGGCGGCTAGGTCAAGGACGGGATCGCCGGGTTCGAAGGCGTTGGACATTTTTTTGAGGACAAAGTACTTGTAGGATTTGTGGTAGGTGTAGGCTGCGAGGGCGAAGCCGGTGCCGAGGACGAGGATGGAGGCTAGGGAGGTGGCGGCGGACTCGAGCATCTTGTACCATATGGAGGGTTCGTGGCGGTGATCGTCATCTGGGGGGGCATTTTGTTAGTATCGGGCGTCTACTCCGTGATGGTGTTTTGGCGGGATAGCATTGAGGATGTTGTAAGTGAGAGCCTCGTAGGGGAAATGTTGGATTTAAGGGTGGATCCCTACACCAGTCCCGACCCCTGGATGTTGCGTCATTCTGATCATCCCAAGCTCTCGGGTCCCTGATAGATATGCCCATGATTGGGTCAATTGTCGGCGCGTTCCTGAAGCTCTCGAGATATCTCACGCGAGCTCAGGTACCTACGCCATTCCAGTCGCGAGATGCCCCAAGTGCACGCAAACCACCAAAATAAAAGAGCTGAAAATAACGTACCATTGCATTTGTCTTTATCCTTGGAATAATGTCTCCTTTCCTGTCGTGGTCCAGGTTGTGGCGTCCAATGTATCCTTCTCAACGTCGTGGGTGGTGGTGGTGGTGGTGCGCTCCTCTCATTTGGTATCCTTGGCCCACGAGCCCAAAGCCCCCTTTGTGCTGCCACCGCTGCTGCCCCACCCGAATATCCACGGGATGCCAACCGGCTCCCTGCCCGTATTAGACCCATATGTGGTGATTACCGGCGTGCCCCTTTTGGCGAAGAGAGTTTTAAAAGAAATAAATGGCGAATAGAAGTCCGGAAAAACAAGAAGTGAAAACGGTGGGAAGATGTATCAACACCCAAGCAACGACCCAAAGGAAAAAAGTGGTGGCTCCCTCACTGCCCGCGGCAGTTGGGCTTTTGCTAGCTGCAGGAAACAATGATAGCGCCTGAGCTAGACTGGGATGTCGCTACCGGCGGGGCGGGAGTGATCGATGTGAGGATTCGGAAAATGTGACTGTACAAACAGGAAAATATGGGGGTTGAAGTGAGTGAGTGACTTTGACGATGTCTGATGATATCAGGTAACACCAAAAAGAAAAATTCGGGAAATGGAGTTCAACGAGTGGATAGCGGGATCGCCAAGAACAAACAAAAAAAGCAGAAAAAAAAAACAAAGCCAATTGTCAAAATCTCCAACAAGGGATCTCGTGAGTTTGTGAAGGTGTGTTGTTTGTCTCTCTCAAAAAGAGGGAGAGGGAAAAGAAAGGGGAGCATTGAGCACGGGACAAGGGACGGAGACGCGATAATCGGAAAGCTATCTAGGGTTACAGCGGTGACATCAATTTCTGGGCAGGCAAAAGGGTGGTCAATTCGCGTTGGCTGTCCCTTCTGCCGGCAGGCCCAGAGGGAGGGCAGACGGCGAAACACAGCGCCCCGAAACTTGACGCCGTTCCCACAAATAGTGTAGCGGTCGCTGAATTGGCGGGCCCGATAACCACCCACAAGCTCACCAAGCTCACCAACAAGCTCAGCTGAGGGATTTCGATGGACAGGGACCGACTGCACAGTAAGAAGCTTGGCAATGCGGGGGGTCCATTTTTGGGTGCTTGTGTTCTGGAGGCCGCACATCGAGGCCAGACCACGTGGGCTTGGAATGAGTGTTGAGCATGTGCCACTGCCTGCCGGCTGGTTGTCAGCTGCCAAAGCTGCCCCTGAGCCCCTGAATCCAACGACATCTCAACATGACGGCGATGAGCACTTCGATGAAGGGGCATAATGTTGTTGGAGAAAGCATACGTGGTGTTTATTTGGTTACTGGCGGCTCTCAAAATGCCAGTGACACCAAAACCGGAACTGCAAGAGGGATAGAAGGGAAGCTTTCTCTTCTGAACAAAATCTACTTGCTCTCCCCAACCAAGAAAAGCTCGATGACATCCCCCACAGCAACAACTCCCGCAAATACTTGGAGTAACATAATGCCGTTGTCGCCTCTTCTCAGAATGCGCCTGCTGACCCCGAGGCGGAACCACCTGGCTTACACCAGATAAGTGACAACCTCCACGCAGCATGCTCGAAACACTGGGAGACCAGAGGCTCAAGCACCTCCCATGCTATGCGCAACCTTTGGGATGTGCTACTACTATGTCTCTGTCGAATTCTCCGGAAATACTGTGTTTTTCCTTTGTATTTGCCATATCTGAGAGACGTGTAGACCGGAGGATGCCGTTCCTTCCAATTTTGACGATTCCCAGCCATTAAATACCGTGGAAAAAGCCCTACAATCGCAACCCTCAAGGTAAACAATGGAAAGAGCGATCTGAATAGCCTCCTGGACCGTGCGCCCGGCCATCGAGGTGCGCGGCTTTCCAGGTCTCTTGACAGAAAATCTCATGACTTTTGTTCTTAGTCTTCCTCAACTCCACCGATCAAATCGCCTGCTCTCGCCGCTGCTCTCCGACCCCCGGCGCCCGCGAACGAACTGGCATCTCGCCAGCAAACGAGAGGGGTATGGTATGTGACATTTCCAATATCTCATCCTTTTTCCCATCGCCAGCGTTGTTCAGATTGCTTGTGTGGTGTGGTCGCTGCTGGCTCACGAGTGCGGGTTCGATGGCAGCCATCCCACTTTCAAAACCGATCACTCAGTGATGTCTCTTTTTTGGACACTTTTGTGCGTTTTTGGAAAGAGTTGCTGCGGACGTTTTGCTCCGGGGATGGGTGGCCTGGCCTGATATTTCAGACACTGGGGTTTGGCAGTTGCTGGGCCTTGTGCTTGGGAGGGAGATTAACTCGTGAAAGGGCTCACTTGGCAAGTGCTTAAGTTGTTGAGTTTCCAAGCAACTTTGGCTTACTCCCATACCCCCTTTTGCTTGTTTACTTACAACACATCACCCGAGTTACCTTACCTTTTTATCCACTTACAAGCACTTCTTTTCACATCAACCTCATTCATCTGCCTTCATCCTACTTCAGCATACCCCCAATCTACCTCAGTCTTTCTTTCTTTTATCCCAACTCTCGAGAGACTCTACACCATCCTCTTCCATTATTATGATCATCTTCACCAACTCTATCCCAACAATGGCCATTCCTTATCCCACGTTTCTACACCCTTCACCTCATTCTTTTATACGATCATGCCCAACTTCTCACACGCCCAATACTGGCTGTTCAACACTAACATGTCAACTTCATAGTACCAGAACACATTTCGTCCAGATTCACACCTCAACCCGCACCTGAAACTCATCACCTTCTCACCAACCTTCGAACATCTTCGGCAGACACTCACCTCACTTTCCTCCTTCCAAAACCTTCTCATCCTGCCTGATCACAGCCACAAAGACTACACTCCTACTTCGAAATCACACAACTCGTTTCCCCAATCCAAAGCCCCAAACTCACTTCCCATCAAGCTTGTTCATAATCAACAAAACCCCTCAGCATTTACAACACCATCCTTTGCTATTTTCTCAAACCTCACTTTCACCCCAACCCCTAAACCTGGTGATGGTTCCTCAAAGCTAACAAGTCACAGTCACAATGGAAACGGGAAACTGGAGCGAGGAAGGCGCAGCGGGCGGTAGCTCCTCCGCCTTCAGCTGGCTGGACGAGCTGGCCGAAGAGGCCTGGCTTAACAAGGAGGCAGAAGAAGACGTGGGGGTCCGCGGTGACGGTTTGGTCAGCGAAAGCTGGCCTTTCCCTGCCGTGGAGGCTGCGAGGCCACTCCCGCGTCTGCCCTCCACGGCGTTCGCGGGCCAACGGAGCCGGCGGTGGCAGCCTCGCTTCCAGCCGACACTCTCTGTGGTCCGGGACCTGTCACCGGCCCCACCCCCGCCGACTCCAAGCTGCGCTCCGCCCTCGCCTCCGACGACGTCTGTCGTCGGCCAGGCAGAGGAAAGCTTGGACCGGTTGGGCCCGGTTGACAAGGGCAAAGGTAAGGCAGTGGACGAGGAGCAGCCGGCTGGGAGACCCACCTTCCAGCAGACGGTGGCCACAGCACCCACATCTTCTCCCTCCCAGGCACCGCCAATTCCACGGCTGCCCTCACCATTGCCTTCCTTTGTGCGCCGTATGTTGGAGACTTCTGCCCCCCCTCGCTTGGCCGACCGCCCGCTGCATCCCGATCTCCTCAGAGAGAGGGTGCCGGTCGCGACTGCCTCACCGCGTGAGTTTACATCCTATCTCTCAGTTCTCTGGGGCTTTATCACTGACTTTCTGCGTAGCAACTTCGGCCACGACTCTGCCTGTGCCGCAAACCAGGCCACCCATCCCACAGCTCCCGCCGTTCGTCCACTCTCCTTCGCCAACCAAGAGAGCCTCAACCACACCAATGGCGCCGACAGAGAGGCCAGTCACACCTCTGCAAGTCGCTCAGCCAGAGCTCAAGAGTCGCTGGAGCCCCTCGCCTCCTCCCTCACCGACCAAGGTTCAAAAGCTCATGAAGGCAATGAGCTTCGCAAGTTTGAGATCCCAAAAGTCGAAAACCAGTCTTCGCGAGCAGTCGAGTTCCTCCGCTGTTCCTCCGGTTCCTGATCTCCCTCCGACAACTCCTGACACTACAAAACGCAAATCCGATCGATCAAGTGCAAGCACAAAGAAGAGCTTTGGTTCTTTCGGCAAAAGCTCTTTGGGCAGAGGTAGCTCGTCCTCCCAAAAGTCCAATTGGGTGGCAGCAGCATTCGGCTGTGATTCCTCCTCCATCACACGTCCAAGAACTGCTTCTGGAAGGACCGAGAGAAGCTCGACAACAGAGAGAAGCTCCGGCAGCAGTTTGATGAGCTCGGCGTTGAGCAGACAAGCAAGCACGATCACCCCAGAGAGACCACAGGCTGGACTGTCGTCTTTGCCTCTTCTTCCAGCAGCTTCTACTTTCCACCCCGAACCCCCCTCCGCTACTCACATAGTTCCGCCAATGCCACCTGTGCCTCAGTCTCCCCCCCACCCTTCAGATCTGCACAGAAAGATCTCCATGCCGAGCATGTTCCTGCGGAAAAAGAAGTCGAGCTTGAACAAGAAAGAGGACCCTCAAGAGAATAAGGGTGAAGACGAGGAGGGCAAATGAGGGAGACACCAATCCTTCAAGCTATCACTGGCTAATTTAAACAACCCAACAATTACCACAGGGTCACGACCAACGACCGTATGCCACACAGGGTAACTTACGATTCAACACCGCCGACCGCCGTCTTCAACAACACGCGAGTCTTCATACAACAAGTCCAGTATGTCGTTGACTTCATCTCCTTTCACCTTGAACATTTCCTATTCTTGATTCTCCTTCTATTTCACTAATTTCGCGTTTTTCTTTTCTTTTTCTCAATTTCGGTCTGCATTTCGAATCCGGCGTTTGGCACACAGGACATTCGCCCAGGGATACAAGACTTCTACTCCTTTATACTTGTACCAGAAGTTCCCGGTACGAGGGATCAAAGCAGCATCCATGATACCCCCATCGTTCAGCTTACGGCATAAATAAGTCTCAACGAACATGGTTTAGAGAGATGATATACCCTGAGACACCCATCCCCATTTCATTATGGTCAAACAGAGCATCACCACGGAAGTATCACCATGGAGGCATACAGTACTCAGAAAACATGGTTCATCACCAGATACCCGGTATTTCAGGCGTTAGCACTGGTAGGCGGCATCACCAGCGAGGAAATACAGTACTTACAGGGCTATGGTTGCATTGACACGGCGTCAGGGCGAGGTGGATCACAAAAAGGGGCATGAACAAGGGCGTGCAGGATTGGGAGGAAAAGTCATTTTGCTTTGCATTTACATGTTTGGGGTTTGATAAGGGGTTACGATCATTGCTGGCATGGGGTTTGGTGTATTTTGGCATTCACAAGGGAAGGGTGACGGTGTATGAGAACGGTTACGGATGAATTCAGATATTTTGGGGCTTTGAGACATGGACTTTTGTGCATGTGAGATGCGTGAGATATGTTGCTGTCTACGAGCTGTGCTCTGTGTATGAGCCGTAGCTCTGTGTAGGGTATGTCTCCTGTTCACAGAGATGTTATTCAATGCAACGAAGGATGTGGTAACCTCGGCTTTTAATCTCATGTAGGTGAACGTCTCACCATCTCGACCTTGTATTTGACCTTCTCGTCCTTATTACTGTTTAGTCTTTTCACCATCGCAGTCAAAGCTTTAGGTAAGTAGCTAAAAGATGATATGTGCATCCTTGGAATCGATAGCTCAGACAGGTGACAGTCAAAGTTGGGACCGTGGACACCAACAGCTGAAATAGCTGAGATGGCAGCTTTGGATCAAGTAGACTGGGGGAGTAGAAAGCTCAAACATTGCTGAATCCTGCTTGGATAGATGGGCGTTGAAGGTCCATGTTACTCAAGTCGACCATAAGGTAGGTCAGACAAGACTCTGCGCAACACCAGGAGAGGAGAAATTGAAGAGATATGCTGCATAACCCCAATCCGTTGTTTTTCCACTTGGATTTCGACCCTTCGCACCTGCTGACTTTTGATGCACGACTCAAAAGTTTAACATCACGCGTCCGTTTGCTCAATTGTCGAGGAAGTGCGAGGTGGTGGTCGGAGTCTGAGCTCAAAAGCCTAGAAACCAACAGCTAACCCCAACCCTAGGTACCTGGTCAACGCGTCGGTGGCTGCTGACCCACCCAACGCGTGCAATCGTTTGCCAAAAAAAATTTAGGCTCCCAAAAAGACCTACCCGGCACCCCACGTGGACCAACTGCGCCCTCAACCTTCTATCGCAAAAACCCCTGCGGACTATCCCAATTCTTCCATGCAGAAAAAACGACTCCACAAACCATGCAAGATTTGCGCCGGCGCTCTCCAGCAAACTGAAACTCTGGGTCTGGATTGATTCTCCTCCCTCCAACTCGGCGGCCGCCCGCCGAATGACAATGGGCCAAGAACAGAGCGCTCCTCGCGAGAACGACGACGACAACACGGACATCCAAAGCGGCCGCTCATCCCCACTTCCCCGCTGGGACCACCCGGAAAACCAGGAGCAAGTAGAACGACAACACGCGGCTACTACCGAGCCGCTCCCCGAGACCGAGCCCCCTCCCGAGGCGAGCAAGAAAGAGAAGAAGAAGAAGAAGAAAAAGAAGAAGGATCGCGAGAGGAGCGTTGGTGAAGTTATGGACTCACCGGGCCGATCTCTGTCGCAGCTGACGCCGCTGAAGAGGAAGAAGACGCGTCCTCCGTCTTTGGGGAATGTCGAGAATGTTGGTCAGAGCTCGGATGGTGGTGGGTCGGCGAGGCGGAAGTTGAAGAAGTCGAAGCGGATGTCGTTGGGGACGATTTTGAATGACAACGCCGATGCTGTTGAGAACAATGACAGTCAGGACTCGTTTGTTCCCCAGCCGACGCTTCCAGAGCTCGAATCTGAGCCTCGGCTTGAGAATAATGAGGAAGAGGACGAGGGAATGGAGGATGCTATGGCTTCTCAACGGCGCAAATCGAGTAGCAAGAAGAAGGGCAGGAACAAGAAGGCTGAGCCAGAACCAGAGCCGGAACCAGAGCCAGAGGTGGAACCAGAGCCGGAGCCGGGGCCAGAGCAAGAGCAGGAGTCAGTGCCAGAGGTGGGACCGGCCCCTGAAGCCGCCGCCGTGGAGGATGATATGGAATTGGACGAAGCTGAGGAGGATCTTGCCAACCTGAAGACTGAACGCCCGGATCACGATTCTGACGATGACGTCGACATGGAGGACGGTTCGCCAGCACGATCCCAGCACGTTTCCGAGACACCCGCCCCTCAAGAGGAAGAGGAGGAATCGCCTACTTCGCCCATCGTGCACGTTAAGTCCGAGCCAGGGGTGTATGACGAAGACGAGGACATGTCGAGGCTTGGGCAGGGAGATGCCACGGACGAAGAAGAGTCACCTGTGCCAACCAAGACCGAGAGACTACAAAGGGTGATGGATGAAGCACAGTCTGCCTACGACTCTGGGTATGTCGAGACGGATGGCAGCAACGAAAGAAGTCAGAGGTTCGCGACTCAGGTTTCGCCCGCTCTGGACCATGAAGAGGCTACGCCGTCGGAAGATGAGGTAATGCAGAATGTGAAGTCTGCGCCGGAGGAGGATGAGGAGGAGATGAACGGGACACCGGCGAGTGAGGCCAGCCCTGCTCAGGCGCTTAAGGCTGCGCCTGAGAGTGAGGGTGAGGAGGAGGGAGCACCAGAGAGCGAGGCCGAGGAGGAGCAGGTATTGAAGGCCGAGGAGGAAGAAAGCGAGGTAGACGACGAAGAGCCGGTTAATGACCCCCTCGAAGACAGTGCGGACGAGGAGGAGGTAAGCGAGGAGAGGTTCTCCGAAATCCCCGAAAGCGACATTGAACAACCAGAAATGCAGCACGAGGAACCGAGAGTCGAACCACCCTCGGAAGCTGGGAATGTGCCGACCAGTCAGAGCGAGCAAGCTCATGTCAATGGGACCACCGTTCAATCTTCACCAGATCTTGGCGGCGACGATGTTGCTTATGCGGCTTCGCCATCACCCCCTCCCCCCTCATCTGCCAGGGCCCGTTCTTCCACGAAACGTAAGGTGAAACGTGCTTTCAATCCCGACGCCCCCGTCAGCGAGCCAGACGCACAGCCGGAGACATCCTCAGCTCGCTCCCAAAAGAAGCGTAAATCAAGAGATCAACCAGAGGAGCCTGAGGAGGAAGAGAAACCTGAGGAGCCCGAGGAGGAGCCCGAGGAGGAAGAAGCTCCTGCTCCCACCCCAGCACCCAAGAAGAAAAGGTCCAAGAAGATTCGCGAAGTTCTTCAAGAGCAAGAGGGCGGCGAGATCGACGAGGAGGCCCCCGCTGCCTCTACACCTGCCCCAAAGCAGAAGAAGACACCAAGGTCAAAGAAGTCGAAGAAGGCGGCCTCCGAGGAACAAGAAGAGAAACTCGATAAGCACGGTTACGCTACTGGGAGACTTACTGCTGTTGAAGAAGATAAGGTCACCAAAGCAGTGAACAAGTTTCGCAAGGACGAGGGCCTAACCCAGGCTGAAATCAACAGGATCATCCAAGAAAACCCTGCCGTAGCCGTGCACAATGCCAAGGGCGCCCCGACATTGCATGCCGCTCTTTGGACCGCTGTGTGCGAGGCGTGCCCTTCAAGATCACGGTTGAAGCTGCAGAAGTTTTGCAGACGAAAATTCCACAACTTTGTGGCACGTGGTCAGTGGACTGCTGAACAGGATGAGGAGCTACAGGAAATGATGAAGATTCACGGCAACAAGTGGACAGTCATCGGAGGTCTGATCAACAGACATCCCCAGGATGTTCGTGACAGGTGGAGAGACTATATCGTTTGCCGGGACAAAGTAGTGAAGCATGACTGGGGCAACGAGGAGGAGGCGAAGCTCACCCAAGCAGTCAAGGAGGCCGTCGACAAGATTCGGAAAGACCTCATCTCGAGGGGGGAGGACGAAGGACAAGCCGAGAGCCTGGTCAACTGGCAGGCTATCAGCGAGGCGATGGGCCGGACGAGAAACCGACTTCAGTGCATGGAGAAGTGGAAGAGAATACTCAAAGCTGAGCCGATTGCGGACCGGGACAGGGTCATCACCTTGCTCCCTGATACTGACAACTGGAGAGTGAAACTGGCTCGCCAGGATTTGACCAAGATTACACCAGCTGAGAAATACAGATTGGCCTGCGTCATCCGCGATGGCTGCACGGAAACCGAGCGGGAGATCGACTGGAAGAAGATTACCGAGAGGATCTTCAAGGACAAGTATCAGCGTCAAGCCCTGGTTGTTATCTGGGGCCGGTTGAGGTCGTCGGTGCCACACCATGGGGATAAGACCGTTCATGAATGCGCGCAGCATATTGTTGATAGGTATGATGAAGAGGGAGGATTTGGGGACAGCTACGGCAACTACCCTGATGAACAGTCCCTTCCTCCCAGCGCCAAAAAGCCTCGCGGCAGTGCCAAAAAGCCGAAAGAGCCGACGACGAGACGCCGCTCGACCTCCGTCGCCTCCGCCAAAAAGAAGAAAGAGTTGAGTGAAGCTTTTATTGTTGACGAGACTGACTCTGAGGGTGAGACGGTGGTGGAGGACACTGTGATGGAGGATACGGTGATGGAGGATGGTGCCTCGATCGCTTCCGATGCCCCACCGATCGACTCTGATGAGGAGCATGAAGAAGAAGCGCCCGAGGAGGCCGCAGACGAAGAAGCAGAAGCACCACCTCAGTCCTCCGTCGTGAAGCGCCTCGCCCCTGAAGAGGACGACACCTTGGATCAAGAAGACGAAACACGCCCCCCATTTGTGCCGTCCCCCTCGGTCGAAGCAGATGCAGCCCGCACTCGTCGCCGCGAGCGTTCTCTCTCCAACAAGCCCCCCACCCCTGCCGCCATCGAGGAAGAATCTGGTGAAGAGGTCCAGGACGAGGACATGGTCACCAGCACTCGTCTCAAGTCGGCCAAGAAGCGCCCCGCCACCGAGGAGATGTCGCCCCGCAAGAAGAAGAGAAAGACCAACTCGGACAGTACTGTCCGGCCTGCGGTCCTGAGCAGTTCTTCGCCTGCTGTTACGTACGGGAGGAAGTCGAATAGCAGGAAGGAGAACAAGAAGGCGGCGGCGGAGGCGGTGAAGGCGAGGCAGGCGAGGGCGTTGAGCACGATCAGCAGTGATATGGATGACATGGATGATATCCCTGCGAGGCTGCCGGGGCAGACGCCGCCGGGGAGGGTGACCAGGAGAGTTGCGAGAAAGTAGGAATATTGCAGGTCTCGGTGGCGGGAGCAAGGGAGGGAAGAGGAGATGATGAAGCGATTTGGGGGAGTTGAAGGATGATGATGTCAGAGGGGAGAAGGGGCAGGTAGTCAGTCGTGGGTATCCAGCGAGATTGAGTCTAGTTTGGAGCGGAAGTTGGGTGGGGGGAAGCGTGTGTGTGTGGTGAGGAGTGGAGGGTGAGGGTTTACATTTTAATTGCATGGATTGGTTCTACCTGTATGATACTTGATGTGTTTTCGGAGAATTGCCAGCGTGCATGGTAGATAGGGGGTAAAGGAAGGGTGTGTGTTTTGCATCTATAGAATGTTGTCGTGTGTACCATCTTGCGAACTCAGTGTTATGGGATGGCCCAGCTTAGCTTGGGCCGGAGCATGTAAGTCAGATCATCGTCCTTGTTGTCGCTGGCCTCAGCCCTGGTGTTATGCATTTTCCTGGCGTAGGCGTTGTTGTCTTTGAGGAGCATTTCGCATTCTTTCTGCACCCTTAATCAGTCAATCATCAGTCTGCAAGCAGGTGATGTCGAGAGGGGTGCTCACCTAGCTTCTGTACCGGTCTGTGAACTCGACGGTTGAGATCTGGATTGCTTCTGGCTTGTTCTCGTATTGGGGGTACCAGGTCTTTGAAGCCGGGCCAGGGGGTTAGTAAGGTTCGGCAGAGAGTAGGTAGGTAAGTTAGATGGCTATACCTTTAAAACGAACTCATCCTTGCTCCCGCAAAGAATGAGGAGCTGTTGCTCGAGGTATTGCTTGTAGTAGCACCTGTTTTTGAGGGGGATGTCGACTCTTTTTTGCTCGAGTTGGTTAATCGTGACGGTTCCCTGTCAAAGACTGGACATGGTCCGAGCTAACCTGTTGGTTCTTTAGGAAGTGATCTCATGCTCATCAAACTGGCCAAGACCGCCTTCGAGGCAGCCTCCTGGCCAACTGCAGTGGCTACCGGGCGGTATATGTTTCCCCTCGGGGACAATGTGCGCAACGTGCAACCCGTTTCTCCTCGTTCCGGTCGGTACTTCAAAGAGCGCACTTTAACTGCGCTCTCCCATCTACATCCATCTTCGCTACGTGACCAAGAGGGCAAATCGTTTCCAACGCTCATACCATCTGCCACAGGAGCCACCCCTACTCTATGACACTCCACAACGGACACCCATCTGTGGAACTCAGCTGATAAAGAAACTGCACAGCATTTTGGGCAGGATCCGTATCTTGAAGCGACAACCCACCAGAAAGGACCTTATCTCAATGGAGTCCCCGCGGTCGACAACCAAGGCAGACGAATCAAAGGCAAATAAGGAGTTGGAACTGTGATCATATGTCGAAGCTCCCAATTTGGATTCTTCACGGGCTGCGAGGGCATATTATCGTCTGAAGGTGGGCGCCTTGGTCCTCGGAAGGTAGGTGCTGATGCTGGAAGTCTTTCTCACTTTGGGGTTTGTCCCTCAACCCATCTGTTCCTATCAGTAACTGCAGGCCGTTAAAGATGAGTTTTTCCTTACCAGGGAGAGTGATAAGTCATTGCTGTAGAGGTTGGTAACCTGCTCGCAGCAATGATATGCCATTGATGACAAATTTCTTGTGCTTGATGTATCTCGTGTGACTTGCGAATGCCGGATCCAGAAATTGCATGTGTTTACTTCAGGAATCAAGTGTGAACCAGACAGTTCCGGCAATACACACCCCTTTAATGCCGCTGCCCGGTGTTATTTGATTCGTTAACCACTATGCTGTTGCACTTGGAATATTAGAGATGGGGGGCAGTAACTAAACATCATCGCCAACATCTTGATGTGCATGTACCTGGGGAGGCCAAAGTTCAAAGTCTGATCATCTCTGATGTCAACATAAACTCCTTGCACTGCTCGGCTCGCAGCTGCTCTGGGCCACTCAGGGTTAGGCGTGCTGGTGCTCTGCCAGCAGCACTCTGAGCAGTGCCCTCCCCCCCCCCAACCTTCTGTTCTAGTACCTATAGTTATCATAGGTTTGCACCTGCTGGAAGCTGCAACAGTGAGAACCATCCCATCGGACCTCCTTCCATCTCTCTTGTTTGTTATATTCTACTCCGTAATCACAGCAATCCTCCTCATAGTCAGCTGCACTAATGGCAAGCTGCGAGCTTGGCTAGGCAATCAAATGAAGTCTGACCATCGTGCTCAACGTTCCTGCGTCCAGTGAATAACATCCTCTCTCTCACCATGCAGCCCCTCCCTTCTTCATGAAACCGCCATCTTACTCCCCATTGTCAAAATTGACCCGGTAAATGCCCCCATATATTGACTGTGTGGCGAAAAAATTATATTTCAATTGGGAGTTTCAAACTTGAAATGAACCTCAGTGGATCATACTGGCTGTCCACGGGTCACCCC